CTTAACCACGAAAAATATCAAATTATTTAAAGTGGTGAATAGTTATCTATACAAGGCAGATTTATTCTACACATTACCATTTCTACCGGAAATGAATGCCAGAGTAACATTAACTCGGACTCTGATTCACGTAGACATTAAAACAATGAGGTCACACATAATCTGTACTTTAATAAAAACGATTGTTATCTAGTTTATACAAAACCACAAATAAATATGTATGAGATACACAATCACGTAATGACCGAACTTTTGGCTTTAAAGGTAATTTAGATGTTCAATTTGAATTTCTTTCCGTGAAACATGACCGGATGGTGATGGAGGGGAGGGAGGGAAGGGACGTGACGGAGGGGGAGGGAAAAAATCATCTATCGGATTCTCTGGCACATTATAATAAATATGCGTGTGCTTGTGTTGTGGCCTTTACAATTTTAACTGATATACTGCAGTGCATGCGTATCGAAGTTTCAGTGTTACCATACAGATGATTACCGTTCAAAATTGAGGGATACCATTATCCTGTGATGTACAAGATTAAAAACAGAAAACATGAAAACTACAATAACTATGCATGAACTGTGGAATTTCTCATATGACAGTATTGCGGACATTTGTAGGGTTTAATCGATTTAAAAAGAACTGAATAATTATGTCACACAATGAACATTCACGGTGCCCAAACGTATACTCTACATCAATTACGGGGTGTAAACTGACACAAACACCGTTTAAAGAAATACACTGATTCATAGACTAAACCATATACGGGTTATTCTTAGATTCTGAGACTCACACGGGGTGTAAACAGGTATATTGCGCCAAGCACAACATGTACTCTGAAACACGCACAGAGTGTAAACAAATAGGCATGCAAGTAGACCCAATGATGCACGCGCTGGTGTAATCAGATACACCGAGACACCCCTTGGATATTAACAGATACACCGAGACACCCCTGGGATATTAACAGATACACTGAGACACCCCTGGGATATTAACAGATACACTGAGACAGCCAGGGATATTAACAGATACACTGAGACACCCCTAGGATATTAACAGATACACTGAGACACCCCTGTGTTATTAACAGATACACTGAGACACCCCTGGGATATTAACAGATACACTGAGACACCCCTAGGATATTAACAGATACACTGAGACATGTTATAGGGTGTTACGTACACATCCTATGACACAAATGAGATATAAAACAGATACATCGAGACCCACGGCATATAACCAGGTACCCAAAGAAATACCAAAGAGATACACTGACGCACACGAGATATAACATAAAATACCAAAACCACGAGGTGTAATTATACACCGTGAGGCACAAACTCGGTGTTAACAGATACACTGAGGCACTCCTGGGATACACTGACGCACACGAGATATAACATCAAATACCAAAACCACGAGGTGTAATTATACACCGTGAGACACAAACTGGGTGTTGACAGATACAGAGTGAAACTTGCGAGATGTAAGCTCAGGTATAAACAATTAATAAGGTAGAATACAATATTGGTAACATAATTATCTCCCTTTAATTTGAAGAATCTGTGACCATATGTTCACAAGTTTCAAAAAGTACTTGCGCCCACCTTTTCAAAGAAGAATAAGATTGTAATAAAGACAAAAGCAAACAAATAAGAATTATGGGGAAAACTTCATACACTTCCACGCATCATCGCACCGTTTAAACATACCAGTGTTAAAACATATACATCTGTAACCAGTGACACAGTTTATGTCATTTTCAGACATAAATAACATTAACAGAAAATATACGACCTTCTTTCGAAATGATCCAAAATCAACAATCCAAAAATAAACGATGAAACATGAAACGAATTTGTACAACTCATCCCTATAACCAGACCAACGCCCGACCAGCCGGTGGCTATTTAGGACAGTGTTATGATATCTGTTCAACTGTGGCGGGATGCTGGTTTTGTTATTTCTTTGACGAAGGTCATCCTCCTTTACAAGTTAAGTAGCCGGTATGTTAGGTACACCGAGTGATGGCTATCATAGCGATCATCTCGCTCGTTATGTAGTATGCTGACGATAAAAAGAGCTGTACAATGTACGATGTTATCATTCACACCACAGCGCGACAGTTAACACATCGCCATTAGCAAGGCGATCCAACCCAACCCTACTGGGACATAAAAAAGGACAATGTCATTTCCCTTGTCTGTTCTCTATATGTATTACAGCCATTAGTCGATTTATAAGACACAAAATGTACAGGTTTATAAAAAAAACCGAGAAAATAACTATTCTGCTCCAACTACGGCACAAATATCACGGATTCCAAATAGCATTATCATAGCGAACCTCGACGGAAGTAGTCGGGATGTAACCGGAAGTGGTTTGAAGTGATCAACTATTAGTAGCGTTGCTTGATTAGTTAGACTGCTGAACATCCTATCCACACATTTACTTACTTAAAGGGTGTTAATTCATAATGGCATATTAGAGAGCCACTGACTTAAAATCGTGTCCATATGTGCAGAGAATTTTAAATAATTTGGTGTAATAATGTAGATACGGATGCTAGGCACGAATCTAAAACTTTCTGGTTTGAAGAGTGCTTACTCCTTACATCCGGATGTTTAAATGTAGGTTTTAACAATGAGCGTACTTACAGAGTCGTTCCGTGTATGTCAGGATCAAGGCTATAGTGATATTCCTACAGTTCTAAATTTATCAGAGGCCATTAAGGTCGTTAGCTGTATGACCATATTTATGAATGAAAAAAAATCAATTCTATTCACGGCAAGCAGCTCCAAAGGTCAATACCTTGTATTTGGACGAATTAATTCCATATTCAGCCTTCTTTGTGTTTCAGGCTGTTCTTGAAAGGCTATTGTGGTACAATATATGTTGTGTTGTCGTTGCCCCGTGTGGTAAGTGTTTTGGCTGGTCAGTACAATTTCTGGGTCTGTCTTGCATGTGTGGTAAACGTTACCACCACTCTCTCATTGTACTGTTCATCGTTAAACTATGTGACTAACAAGGTTTGAAGTTCTGTCTAACCACGGGCCCGTTTTTCGTGTGAAGTTCTATCTTGTATGTTCTTTAGGTGAAAATTATTTCTCCGTGGTATTTGACGCTTGGTAGTTTATTTAAAGGTTTATGTAACGGAGATGTTGTTTCAGTAATTAGTTGGGGGTTTTTTGTGGTAAGTTTGCTGTCTGAAGATGTTTGCTCGGTAAATGTTGTTATTTGTTGAGAGCACTTTGGTATGGTAAGGAAAGCGTTACTCCTTAGCGTCCGTTATTTTCGTGGTACGTCTGTGGTGGAAGTTATTAGTTCGGGAAGTCTAAATCGTATTCTGTTTACGTGGTACGTGTTGCTCTCCTATCAACGTTGTTTGTGCTTCTATTTTTACAGCTAATTAATGTTTAATTCTCGATAAAGGCCCTCGCGTGATGATCTGCCGACATCAAAGCCATGTCTGTCTGTTATAGAGGCAGGTGCCCGCTTCATACAACTGTTGGTGCCGAGATCACGCCGACTTTCTTACTACGGTAGATGTGAGCTAAGTAAAATAATTAATATATTACACGGAACGAGAAACTGAACAACAGTTTGTCGAAGATGTCACAGCCAATCCTCTTTATAAAGACATCCTTAGGGGAAAAAACCCCGTAAAACCCCAGACAAATGTTCCTTGACTTTGTAGTACAGGATAACATGACGATAACGTCACAACAGATATGGACGTGTACAGACTAAAACAGGTTATACTGTCGGTACTTTCTTTTTATAATTTAAAATTTTGCGTAGGTTTGAATATATCAAGATATCTCATTGTTTAAGGTATAGCAATATGTGCTGTTGCTGATAAGCAAAGTATCTCCTTATCACGACAATATAGATTGGAAGGTTCCTTCCGGTACTTATCTCTTTTCATTACCTATCTCCGTCGACATTTTATGCCATATGTATATATCCACAAAAGAATATTGACTGACGGTATGTTTCTCGATCGTTTTCGCTCTGTTTTCAATCTATACATTCCCATCACATAGCGACACATACTTTATATTATGGTTTTAAATGAAAATAGAAAACCGATCACATGTCAAATGCAGTCATTGTTGTCAATATAACTATAATTTTCATCCTTATTTATATTTCAGAATCTTAAAAATGCAGATGCCAGAATCATATGAGATTCGTTACATTCCCGAAACATTGGAGGTGGGAGGACTTCCGTGTCAAACAAAATCAACATTTCATCTATCGGTACCTTTCTGGAAATGAGTTTCGGTCCTGGTGTTACGTTATGTCTAGATTTTTTTTTTCTGCGAACTGAAATCGATATAGCCCATAAACAACGATACGACAACTATACTGTATATTCCCTTACCTGCCTTCAGCTACCTAACACTACTGAAAATGAATACGTAAAGTTACAGAAATACCTGTCAACCTCCGACAGATCCTTATCGTAAACGTGCTAAGTATAACGGTCAATATGTACTGAAGATGGTCATCAGACCCTCCGGACCTTGGGTAAGGTCTAAGATTACTTAATCGCGACTTACAAGGGTCAGTCGTATATCGAGGTAGGTACTAAGCAGGATTTGTCGCTATTAAACTTCCGTTTGTTATTTACTGAATTCGAATTTCTAGTGTTTTCCTTTATCAACAGAAAAATGATAAAATGTGAATTTACTGCACCTCACACATTCAGTTTAATTACAATAATATAGCTTTGTTTCTATGTTTTTATTTACAAATATTTTTCTCGTATCACCAGCACTATCATAAGAATAAATCGTAAGAAAGAAATATGTGATCAGGAGAAAGAAAGACATGAAAATAAAGAGAGAAAAAATGTAATAAAGATGAAAGAAAGAAAGGTTGGTTACACAGAAATTCAAGAAAGAAGGTAAGAAAGAAAGAAAGTCAGGATTAAAATAAAGACTGGAAGAATAAAATAGAAAGAAAAAGAAAAAAAATAGATTACTTACCGCACGAGATGAACGTTGATTGATACAATAATACGAGTATTAATAACGAAACTCCTCCAATCTGTGTGAAACGTAGTCTCCTAACACCCATCTTGTCATGTCTATCTTTTTACTGTACAATGGTTAAACGCACTTTTAAAACATTTTCCAGACACATTTTCATATTTCAATATTCGTAAAAGCCACTTTTCTCTGCCACTCCGTACATCCACAGGTAGGAGTAAAGGTGTCGACACATAATTGCACACCCGACAGTTTACATGTTACACTGTAAATGTTCCGGTATGTAAGGATACTCGATATGCCTTTTCCGGGCCTAGTTATCGGGGCCTTGATCATCAAGTGTAAGTCGAAGCGTCTAATCAATAAAGAGTTGGGAAGCAAGAGTTTCAACGACATAGACACACGTATGACATCAATAATTTGTTACCACTTCAGATATTGATTGATGTTTAGCATTTCTTACGACTAACTGCCGCTATTACTTACTACACGGTCTGCTCCCTGCGATAAGTTCCGATAGTATGTGTATGTCCGGGAGCGATGGTTCTGTTTGAATGCGGTTTTAATTTAACCCGACGTCCATCGTCTCTTACTAGAATGGCGCTTCTAACCAAATACGTATTATACACTGAAACTTTTGACATCGGATTTGTATTTATATGAAAATAGGACAAAAACTATCACCATAGTAATTTTTTCCATTAACTTTTTAACCTATCCAGTGCAGTATATGTAAATGATTAATTTTGTATAACCCTGTAACTCGTCATCAACCACATAACGATGTTAAGTGTATATAGTGCAGTACAGTGTAAGGCATCACTCCCTGGGTGATGGCGGGTCAAGCGGAGGACGTGGGGTCCTTATAAATGAAAATGGGTCCTTATAAACGAAAATGCTTTGTTTAGTCCGATGAAAAATTCACAATGATGTTTCTGTTATACAACACACTATTTTGTTTTGTAAGCGATACTTGTACTGAATTTATATTGATAAAGACCTTTGTAGTGTCTATCTGAAACATACACCTTGTATACTGTCCTTTTAATGTACCCCAAATCTCACCATTCGTCCCTAATCGTGTCTATTTTTGTCTTCATTTCCCATACATTTTCTCATTTCGTCCCCTTCTCAGCTCTCCTTTCCTTCCTTCACCCCTCTTTCTTTCGTCTCTGGCCATTCTTATTGATCCTCTCTTAGATTTCTTCGTCTCTAATCGCGTTCATCTTCTTCCTCTCAGCGCCATCTGATTTCGTACCTTATCGGTCCGCTACTCGATTCTTTTTCCAGATCCATCTTTCCGTGTCCCTGTTAGTTCCCAACATTTGTCCTTTACTCGACCTCTTACTTTCTTCATCCATGATAGTGCCCATTACCTCTCCTTCTCCTTGTCGACCCACTTTATGTACCCATTCTATTTCTTGTAACATCTTTATGCTCCTAAACTGTTATCCCCCTCCCCTCCAATGTTTTCAATATCCCGACGACCCCTTATTCCGCTGGTTGTAGAAGTCCCTGTCCAGAGATCCCGGACAGCAAGGTTGAGTGCAATAGTCATGTACAATCTATGTGTTAGTTTAGTGAGTAAACTTGCACTCTGGGACACCCATTCCCGTTTTACTTACACGTTTGATATTTTGCCATCAGTGGGAAATCTACAACTTAATTGAGTTAAATTTCACTTTTATTTTCATTCTGACGACATCACTTTGCTTTGAAATCATCATGGCCCTTCCATATTTATGAATATTAAGCAAGTAATTTTTTCCGTATGTTTTGATATTTGATCAATGAAATTTCACTAATGATCGTTCAGGCGTTTTCGTCTAGTATGTAAGGATACTACTTCCGCTATCATCTCTCGCGCAGCATTTTAAGCATGTGACGGTAAGGTTACTCCAGGACAATTTCTCTCGGATATAAGCGATTAGACACTCCCACCGAGCTCGGAGTCTCCTGTGTCTTTTCGTTCGACAGCTTCACTGTCTACCTCAGCCAAATATAGAACCCTTGTTCCCACATATGTGCACTGTAGCAATGAATGCACAAAACCTCAAACACCCCTCTCCCTACAACGTATAAATGTATTTTACTGTCCTCCCCCACCCACACACCCTCCTTCTCTACAATGCTTGTTATCTATAATGACAACTAAATTCCAAACAATAATCTCAATAATTGGTTTTAAATTATTACGGTGGTAGTCACACTCGTTACGTCCGAAATGGTTATGATCAGCGATAAAAAAATCTCGAGTACATGAAACAGACGTGGAAATTACAATTTTGTTGAAAAATGAGCGTGATTTATTTGTATTATATTGAAGGAATCAGCTTTGTTAATTATTCAGAATTGATCAAAACAAAAATTCAATTATAAAAATTGTCATAAACACATAAAAGCAAATGATAAAATCTCACATCTAATTCGCGAGCATGTATGGAGAAAAACATCGAAATTTATTGTCAGAGAAATTAAAGAAATCTCGCCTGCTTTCAAAAGATGTATCAAAAACGATATCACGGCAGTGGCAGGCGTTGAACTGTTTACTGATAAATATCTTGAGGAGGCAGATTGGCTGCGTTCCACAGATAGTTAGGCTAGTTATCAAACGTTTAACCTACAATAATCTTACTAATTACGTGTATCGATATTACATTAAAAAATGTGACTCCAAGCAATACCCGAACAAGGACAACAAACTGTCGCTCAAACTAAACGGACGGACTTCAATGAAAGACGACAAAACGAAAACTCTAGTAAATATTGAAGTTTGAAGACAACCATACTTCTATGAAATCAGCCCCGGGGCAGCGCTGTGAATCACGCGCTCATTTAGAAATGAAGTGTATTAAATTCCTATTATATAACTTGACTTGCTGGGGGGCCAGCACTTGTGACATATTTCAGAACAAGTTGGGGTCGATGCCTATGGATAGGTAAATCACATACAAGATAAGGCGTCAAAAGCACGTGTAAAATGGCCACGGGGGTAAGCACGTGGATAACACGTCAAAAAAGAAATTTTGATTAAATTGTGGCTGTATATCATATTTTGATTGGAAAGGGTACTTGGTTTTGATAACGTGAATAACAGTACATTTATAATACAGGTTTAAAGCGCAAGTTTCCGTGTTATGGCATACGTGTGTAGAAGTATACACTCGAGACATGCACTGTTAAAGATACAAGGCCCTCTATCCATATCATCTATTTTGAGCAACTCATATCAATATTTAAGAGAAAGGAGACGCAATGTTTCCACATCATTTAATGTCACATACCAGTGCTATACCTGTACCACCACACTAACATTGTACAAGTTAGACACACAAGGTTTTTATTACTTAGTTTGGGCTTATTAAGGATCCTTGTCCACACATCAGGTCATGTGAGGATGGTGTCCACGAATGAGGGGACCAGTCACAGTCATAGTACCATTACGCTGAATCGAATGTCCTAACTCGAGAGGACTCCGCCTGGTTACAATGTACTGACAACGTGCTTAACAATTCTCACTTCAGGGCAACTTATAGCTGAGATCAGCAGACTCGGCCATGGGAATCGGAACATTGGTTTGCTGGCATGGGCGAGATGACCATTCTTACGTCACCCTGCCTGTAGGACGCTATATAAATTACACTACAGCGACCAGCAACATAAGTAGCATCATACTATCATGAAGCCGACAAGAACATATCAATCCTTCCTCGGAGTAACAAGGGGTATTTACATCGAGTCTGAATTGCTTCAATATAGCCGCTTTTGATTACCAGCGGACAAGGCTTTTCACACAGGAACTTGCAGATCTTGGTGCATATTCAAAGGAATATATCATTGTGATGTTTGTGTATGAAATAAGAGAGATAAAAATTGAACTAACGAATAGTCCTCAAATGAAAATAAATATCTCTAAAATGTACTTTTAGCGACTTTTATATCTGTAAATGAAATTCAAAGGAACGAGTGTTTATCTTAATGCCAATAATGCGTGGTTTGGGCAGCGCTTCGTCTCCCGGCCAATTACTGGAACATGTAGGTCGTCAGCACTCTAAGTCTGTCGGGACAGGAGTATGGAATATTCATTTCATAAAGTGAAAAGAGAAAGTTTCTGAATTCTCTTCTTGAATTCATCGAGTTGGCTAACTCATTCTGACCGTCCATTCTCTGAAATTCTGACCAACGTTTTTATTTTTGATTTCCTGGTGGCATCGACCTGAAAGCTTTTCAAACGTTCTGTCGTTCCTCATGATTAAGTACCAATGAATGCCCCAGCCCCAGCCCCCTACCACACATACACGTGTTACCATCACACATACACACGCTACCACCACACACACACACCAGTACTTCCAGTTTTGTCTTTCTGATAGCTCTATATTAACTATCATTAATTACTAAATAAATATATCTATCCTTGTTCTACATTTCAATGACAATACTTTCATTGAAGAAAAGCGATTGATTTGAATGATGATTTTTGTACTTTCTACAGAACGGGTAAAGGTACAACTTCACCTTCCCACACCACCTCAACATTATATATATTGACGCTGTTGATATATTATTTGTTCCGTCACTAGCTGAATTTACATCACCATGTCATATCTTGCCATTTATTGTTTTCTGACAATCGGTCCTATCTTCAATTCTACGTTTCTCATTTGGAGTTGTGACTTTCGGATACTTCGAAAACTATTGCGACGTGACATAAAATATGTTAAGATGTAAAGAAGATAATATGATAAATGAAGGAGAACATTTCTGTTCTGATTCTCTCAATCCTGGTATGATTTCTTTTCTGTAATCTTTAGAATAATTTGTTTTTCGTATAAAGTCACGATCTACACGTAGTATTAAACATGATGACTACCCTACTATGAGTATCTCTCTATTGAGAGCCCTTTTCTCACCTTTTTACCACCTCCTATTAATATTCAGATAAAATTGTGATGACTTTTGAAGAGCCAATATACATATCCTTATAACAATCTGCTTGTAAGTGTTACTTTGGAGTGGTTTGATGAGGTAAAGAGTCTGACACCTGCTGTGAAGGACATGATGATGGCGTAACAGATATTTTCTAGG